CCGAAGTGAACGTAACCCGTGTCCGCGCATGTGTGTGGCACGTTTCTGCACTTCTGCACATGACGTCATTTTGACGTGCTTTGTTACTTCCGTGTCTCCGCGGAGCGCAACCCAAATTTGCCTAACCCGAAGCGTATTCATCCCGAGGTATGACTGTACACTTATCTGCAAGTAAACCCCACCCCACCATACCCCGTCATTATTATTGCATTTGTATGCCACTCTTCTTGCAGGTAGTATTCACAACAGATTAATTGTGAGCTTAGAATGTGCTACAGTCGGGCACGCCAGCTCCTAGAGGCAGAGATGTCTTCAGTCCCCTCAATATCAGCTGTTGAGGGGGCAGAGGAGGCTGAGCGTGGGACCAAGTACAGTGCTACCTCGGGTTAAGTACTTAATTCATTCCGGAGGTCCGTTCTTAACCTGAAACTGTTCTTAACCTAAAGCACCACTTTAGCTAATGGGGCCTCCTGGTGCTGCCGCGCCACCGGAGCACAATTTCTGTTCTCATCCTGAAGCAAAGTTCTTAACCTGAAGCACTATTTCTGGGTTAGCGGAGTCTGTAACCTGAAGCGTATGTAACCTGAAGCGTATGTAACCCAAGGTACCACTGTATGGTGCAGTTCAGCGGCTGGCTCCTCCTGAGCACAAGAGAGGAAACCATGCCATGCTGGACTCTATGCTCAGCTTCCTCCCAACGATGTGATGTTGGTGTGTGTTGTGCGTCATGCACATGACTGCACACATGCATGCATCACGCTGGGCCCCCTCAATCTTAGGCACAAGATGGCACCTCTGGTTACAGTGACTGGCTCAAAGTTGCTTAGTGAGCTTTATTACTCAGCAGGTATTTGAACCCAGCCTAAGCCTGGCACTACATTCATTAAACCATACTCACACACTTTCCAACCTACACGGTCATGGAAGTCACATGCTATATATGTGTTTTCATCTAAATATTTTCAAACCCTGCAGAGGTGTTTGTGATTATTAATTGCACAGAAATAATTTCAGGGAAAGTCTGATGGTCACCATTGGAGATCATTCTGCAGGTACCACCTCCAATGAGGTGTTAAGATGGCTACACAAGAAATGGTCTTTCCTGTAGTGGCTCCCACCTCTGAAATACTCCCCTGCAAAGGCATTCCTTTGACATCTTTTTGTCACCAGACCGAGACTTTTTTCTACACTCATGTATGTTAGTCTTGATTTCACTCCCCTGTGATGGCTGGTTTTTATTCAGTCTGCTGTTTTATGGCGATCAGTTTGACTATTTGGAGTTTTAATGTGTGGTCACTTTTAGATGACTGTTAGTGTTCAGTTTCAGTACTAACTTGTTTATTATGTAAGCCACCTTTAGATCTTTGGGTATAAAGTGACAAATAATCCAAAGAATGATAATGATGGTGGTGGTAGCAGCAGTGGCTGGGTAGGGAGAAAGCACTGGTATTTATGCTGGATCATGCAGCTGAAGCATGACTTATGCAGTTATTACTGTGAAAGGTAATAGTAACAAGCAGGGGATGCAGGTATCAGCAGATTGCATTAATGCAACAACAGGTTTGAGTAACACATTCAAGGTCAAGAAGGTTTGCATCTTGGAAACAAGAGAATAGGAAAGCCTTAAAATGCTTACAAGCCAGCTATAAGTGTCACAACTGATGCTTGTTATGAAAATTAATCTGTCTAACTGTGGTCTAGGGAAAGTGCCTTGAGCAACATAAACTATTCCTTTGAACAGCATATCCATGATACACCAGACAACCTGAGACCTGAGCTTGAACCTTGAAACCAGCTTGTCTCGATAAATGTTTCAGCTCAGCTCTGCTACTGCGCTAGAAGTGGGTGTGACAGCTTCCATTTATCTCTGTTTCTGCAGAGGGAAAGTATTATTCTGAAATATTCAAAAACAGAGAACTAGAGCAGGCAAGATGAATGCTGATGGATGGAAACTTTGTTGTTGTATATGAATGTTTATTTCCTCCTGATTGTGTAGGCCGGTATGGCTTGTTCTGAAGTGTGTGTGTATGAAGGGAAGTTCTCTTTCTGCAGTTCTCTTACTGCACATAACTGTGGCATTATGGGAACTCTTACTATGCAATCTTTCTATGCTTACTATGAAAACTCTTGCTTCTTTCCTCTTGGATTCTGGGAAGTCTCCTTCTGCTCTGCACATACTGTTCCAAACACACCAAGCTCAGGACACCCAGACAATCCCTCAATTCTTCAGTTCATTCTGAGTTCACAACATGCTCTGTTCTCAATGCATAGCTGACCACATATACGGACCTTTCACTTATGATCAATCATTAGTAATTGTTTTAGTCATGTTATATTAATCTTAGTTACAATTTAATTAGGAGGATTCATGCCTGTCTAGTTCCAGCTCCGCTCCCAGTCTTTTGAACTATCACTGATTAATGTAAAATGTAATGCCCGCCTTGTACCTATGTTAACCAATCAGCAACAAGATGCTTTGTGTTTGTATCAGCCAATCAGCCACAAGCACACCTGTGGCAATGTTTGTAATATTCAATAAAGAGAGTCCCGGGACTTGCCCGGGGCAGACGCCTCTCCTTTGACACCCACCATTCGTCTGTCGTGATTTCAACCCAACATCTGGTGACCCCGACGTGCCAGATCCCTTACGCAGCCAAACCTCATACTTCACCCGACTGGAAAAGTCTCAGCGCGCTACTTCGTGAGTATGGGAGGGGACTTGACTAAGCTCCAGAAAGAGCATGCTAAAGAGTTGCTTTATTTAGTTAGACAGCGGGAGGTGGGTGTTAATATTTCCTTAAAAGAAATTGAACAATTGCTATGTGAGATAAATTGCCAATGCATTTTTTATCCAGAGGCTGGATCTTTGGATGTAGAGACTTGGCAAAAGATCGGAAAGACCCTTTTTGCAGAACCTAGGGCTCCGATTCATTGTCTGCTCACTTGGCAGAAATGTGCTGATGCCGTTGCTAAATTAGGGCCCCAATTGGGACCCCAGGCGTCTCCTCTTCTGGCCATTGCAGACAATCCCCCACCTTACCCGAAACTTTTACCTCCTTCTCCTTTGCAGCCCAGCCAATCCCTCCCTGCGTCTCACCCTCCTCAACCTGCATCCTCCCCCCCCATCCCTCCGCCTCAGCCTGATTCCTCCCCCCCCATCCCTCCTCCTCCTGCCACAGCCCCTGTTTGCTCTATAGGAGCTGTGCGTGCTGCGCTCTCTCTGGCAAGGCAAAGGGCTCCTGTCCTTAGAGGAGGAGTCTGAGTGGCCAGGTGAAATGCCGTCTGCTTTCCCTATCTCTTATTCAAACCCTGGATCTGCTCAACAGCAGATTTATTATGAATCGCTTCCTTATTCTGTAATGAGGGAATTAAGGAAAGCCATTGCTGATTCTGGTCTGAAATCCTCTTATGTGACAGGGATGCTAGAGGGCATTGCAACTGGTTACATTATGCTACCTCAGGACTGGAAAGACCTTATGCGCATGCTTTTGTCCCCTGCTCAGTATGTGGTGTTTGAGAGTGAATTTAAACATAGCGCTTCAGCCCTGTCTGATCCTCAACATACTGCCAATGAACTTTATGGTGCTGGTCAGTTTGCTGATATAACTGCCCAAGCAACACTGACACCTGTACATTTTGTTCGCACCGCGACCTGTGTACAACGCGCCTTTCGGAAAGTCCCTGTTTCTGGGCAACCGCTGAGCTCCTTTGTAAATATTAAGCAACAGCATTCGGAGCCATACCATCAGTTTATAGATAGATTGAAAGAATCAGTCACTAGGCAGATTGATAACACCACTGCTCAAAATGAATTGATGAAAAAATTGGCCTTTGAAAACGCAAACACTGATTGCAAGAAAGCTTTGCAGTCAATCATACATCGCCCTAAATATGAACTGGCCGATATGATTCAAGCTTGTGCGGATGTCGGTAGCCAGAGCCATGCGATGTCCTTGCTTGCCGGCGCAATCCAAGCAACCACTAAGCCTACTGGTAACTGCTTTAATTGCAAGCGCCCAGGCCATTTTGCCAAGCAATGCAGAGCCCCAGGCGGGGGGGCACACAAGGATGGTTCCGCCTCTAAGGCTAGACCTTCAAAAAAATGCCCGAAATGTGGAAAAGGCTATCATTGGGCTAATCAATGCAGGAGTTCGGGAAACTCCATTGCGGCCCCACTCTCGGGCCAGGAAAATTAGAGAGCTTTCCGCCTTTAATTTCTGCTGCTGCAAACTTTTCAAAGAACACACCCTCTGAATTTGCAATTGATTTGATCAATCAAGAGACCAAAGATTCTGTTCTACCTGGTGAAATTGTGCTTATGCCCACTCAATTGGCAGGTCCCCTGCCTCCTAAAGTCGCAGGTTTAATTTTACCCAAATTTTCTGCGGCAAAGGAAGGCATCCAGGTTATTCCTGGAGTTCTGGATCCTGACTATGTAGGCACAATAATGGTTCAACTCTGGAGCCATATGCCCATGCAATTAAAAAGGGTGAGTCTTGGGCGCATTTGGTGGTGCTCCCTTCTCATCCTACTGCTTCTATTATGGATACTAATTTGCACGAGCTCTCTTCTTTCCCTCCACAGCTGTTAGCTGTAGTCCAGAGGATTGGTGAGAAGAAACTTCTTCGTAAGTATAAAATCAATGGTATTGTGCTGGAAGGCTTGATTGACACAGGCGCAGACGTTTCTGTAATTTCTAGTAGTTGCTGGGACCCCACGTGGCCCCTTGAGTCTGCCTCTGCTGTCTGGGGTGTGGGTGGCCCCCAAACCTCTTCCAAAAGCGTACGGTGGCTGCCTGTGTCTCTGCCTGATAGCTCTGAAACCATTGCTTACATCCAGCCCTGTGTGCTGAAAATCCACCTCAATCTGTGGGGAAGAGACTTGCTACAGCAATTACAAGCTACCATTCAATTTAATGAGTAAGCTTGCACTTCCCCTCAGCTGGAAATCTACCACTCCTGTATGGGTGGAACAATGGCCCATAACAGGAGAAAAGCTACTTGCTTTAAAGCAATTAGTGAATGAACAATTATCGGCAGATCATATTGAGCCTTCAGTTAGCCCCTATAATACACCCATCTTCGTCATAAAAAAGAAGAGTGGCAAATGGAGATTTCTCCAGGATTTAAGGAAAATAAACCAAATCCTTGAACCCATGGGGCCTTTACAATGTGGTCTGCCAAATCCAAATTTAATCCCACATTCTTATCAATTGGCTATAATAGATTTGCAAGACTGTTTTTTTCTCCATTCCCCTACAGGAAAAAGATCGTAAATTATTTGCTTTCACTGTTCCTGTGTTAAATAACAGCCAGCCCACGGAACGGTACCAATGGAAAGTCCTACCACAAGGAATGTTGAATTCCCCTACCATGTGCCAACATTATGTGAGCCAAGCCCTCCAGCCCTTTCGTTTGCAGCATCCACACCTCCTGATCTGTCATTATATGGATGACGTGCTTATTAGTGGGCCACGCCTCCCCTCATTGGAAACAGGATATGCAAGCCTGTTTGTCACGTTATGGTTTGAAAATTGCCCCAGAAAAGGTTCAGGAATCATCTCCTTTTCATTATTTGGGACACAAAATGATAGCTAGCTATTCTATTCCTATTGTCCCTGAACTTCATGTTCCAAAAACAATGAAATATGTCCAGCTGCAGCAATTGCTGGGCAATATCAACTGGATAAGACCCTATTTTAAAATTCCCTTGAAGTTTTACGGCCGCTTTTTTCAGCCTTAAAAGGCCATCAATCTCCTGGTGAAAAAATCACCTTGACTCCCACTCAGCAGGAGACTGTTACCCAGCTAAAGGAAATCATGCGTCTCCACTGGGTTGATCGAGCTATTCTTAATGTTTTGCCTGATGTAGTCATAATGACAGATTCTGTCCAACCTTTTGCGGCCATTATTCAGTTAGGCCCATCAAAAGTTCACATAATTGAATGGCTGTATTTACATCATACACCAAAGAACACGGTGACTCCTTTAGTGGATCTCCTTGCTCAGCTCATCAGCAAGGGACGCCGCCGCTGCAAAAGCCTCTTTGGCACTGACTGCGGCCAACTCATTGTACCCATGCCTTTAGAACAATGGGAAACTGCTCTCTCCACTAGCATGGATTTGCAGTGCGCCTTAGCCGATTTTGTTGGCCAAGTGGATTGCCATATCCCAGCCGACCCTCGCCTGCAAATGAGCAAGCAATTTTCCCTGTCTTTCTCAACCATATTATCTCCTGTCCCTTTGGACGCCCCTACTGTCTTTACTGACGGATCCCCTCCAGGGGGGTAGTTGCCTGGCAACAAGATGAGGAATGGCACAGCCTCTACACTCTTCCACAAAAATCTGCCCAGCGTTCTGAGTTAGCAGCTGCTGTTAAAGCTCTGCACCACTTCTCCAAGCAGCCTTTAAATTTGGTCGTGGACAGCCTATATGTTGCAAATGTCATAACTCGTCTACAAGGCAGTTATGTAAGTCCTTTATTGGATGACAATTTATTGAGCCTTTTCCTATCCTTACAATTACTTCTTTCCACTCGCTCCCACCCTCTATTTGTGGTGCACATTCGCTCCCACCAACCTTTCCCTGGCTTCATCACTGAAGGCAACGCGAAAGCAGATTCACTGCTTAGAGCTTTGCCTGTTTCCCCTATTGAAAGTCATGCTTTCCATCATCAAAATGCAAAAGCCCTTAGCCGCCAGTTCCAAATCCCGTTGGAAGCGGCACGTGCAATTATTCAACAATGCCCTCAATGCTCTAATCAGATTGGCCACCCCAGCCCTGGTGTTAATCCCCGTGGGCTGGCATCCAACCAATTGTGGCAAATGGATGTCACTCACTTCGCCCCTTTTTCACCTTGGAAGTTCATACATGTTTGTGTTGATACGTTCTCTGGCTTTATTTGGGCCACCCCTCAAAGGGGAGAACAAGTTAAACATGTTTGCAATCATCTTGTTCGTACCATGTCAGTCATGGGCAAGCCTCATTCCCTGAAAACTGACAATGCCCCAGCGTACTGTGCAAAAACCTTTGCTCAGTTCTGTGAAACTTGGAATATTCACCATTTATTTGGCATCCCCTACAATTCTCAAGGCCAAGCCATCGTCGAAAGGGCTAATCGTACCTTAAAAACTGCTCTACAACGCCAGGAAAAGAAGGCCGGTGTCCCAGCCTCCCTTTCCGAAAAGGAAGGCTGGCTGGCCAGTGTTCTCTTTACTCTCAACCATTTGAATGTTTCCATACAGGATCATCAATCTTATACTCGCCTGCAGAAGCATTTTCAGCAAACAGAGATACTCCCAGCCCCACTGGTCCGCTATAAGATATTACCCTCCAACGAGTGGAGTGAACCTGTAAAACTGATCACCTGGGGAAAGGGTTACGCTGCAGTGTCTACTCCACAGGGTCCTCGCTGGGTTCCCGCACGCTGCATCCGCCTATACCATGGCATGGCGACAGTCCCTTCCGAATCCAGTACCGCAGTTCGACCACACACTACGGATCGCCCAGGCCGCAGCGCCCAGCCCCCCCAGGACTCGCAAGCGGGGAAATCGTAATGGACCTGTGACATGGGGCCAAATAAAATCACTCTCATGTCAGGCTGAACAGCTTAGAAAGGAAAAGCAGCTTGAAGCAACCCCTGAGAATTTGCTTCTGTGTGTTATTTCCTGCCTTAACATTAATTCCATGACAGTGCTCATTCTCATTGCTTTGTTTTTGCCTCTTTCTGCTTCCACTCCTACTAGTGACACCCACGCACCTACAAATGTGTGGGAATCTTTGCAAAGACACTCAATATTTCTTCCTTTTGCCTTACCCAACAGGTATCTATAGGGGAGATTCTTGGCTCCTGCCTTATCCCTGTTTGCCATGACCCTTTTGATATACAAAATGATACCTGGTTTTTCTCATCCCTACCCACAAATGATTCTCTCCGCACCCTTGGTTATTCCGGTTATTATGTCTGGGGTAACCAAGTGCGCCGCCGCCCATCTTTGGCCATTGATTTATCGACCCCATACGTGGCTTCCTTTAATGTCACTTGCGCCCGTATGGTGAATTGCACAAAAGCCAACTGCGTGAAAATGGGCACTGATAATTTCCACTGCTCTGATTATGTAAATATTTCCTATCTGTATAAATACACAGAACTACCTGCGGGTTGGTTCTGGTCGTGTCCTGGCTATACATTTAATTACATTCCTGCAAACATCAGCCATGGAACACCCTGTTGTTTAAGCCGTTTGTCTATTGTATTACCCAAAAGCATCATTTGACCCCTTCTCGACATCGCCGCTCTATTGAATTAACTAATGATTGTGATGATTCAATTTCTCTTCCCAGTAGATCTGAATATATCTCCTTAGCTGTCTCTCTCTTAGGAGTTCCTGGATTGGCTGTACGCAATAGTAGAAATATTAATTCTCTAGCTTGTTCTGCAGCAAAAGCGCTGAACTATACTTCTCAAGCCCTTCACCTTCTGAATAAAGAGCAAAGTGAACTCCAGCATGGGCTTTTACAGAACCGCGCCGCGATAGATTACTTGCTGATGCTTCATCATTATGGCTGTGAACAAGTGAATGACATGTGCTGTTTCAATATTACTGACAATTCTAGAGCCATTCAAAGCCAAATCTCTCATTTGCAAAATCTTACACATCACATTAAACAGGACGTTGGATTTTCTGGCCTCTGGGATTCTTTCACCCAGTGGCTTACTGCTTGGTTGCCTAACCTTACTTGGCTTCGTAGTCTCTTTCAATATGCTATTTTCATAATTTCCATTTTTATTTTACTATGCTGTTTCCTCCAATGCGTTCCCAGCCTCATGAGTCTTTTCTCTCGGCTTCTCTCCCCCCCTCCACCACCCAGCAAACTGCTTGCTGCTTACATTGCGAAATGGCAACACCAACAGTGAACCTTAGGGGAGATGTGGGCGGATTTATTTTGGGCATGCGCTGGCAAACCACGTATCCTGAAGTACTTTTGTCCCACCAACCCTGGCAGGCTTATTTCGGGCATTCGCTGGCACACCACTAATCCCGAAGTATTTTTGCCTTATCCACCTGGAATGCCTCGCAAACAAGAAAAGAAAGGGGGAGATGAAGGGAAGTTCTCTTTCTGCAGTTCTCTTACTGCACATAACTGTGGCATTATGGGAACTCTTACTATGCAATCTTTCTATGCTTACTATGAAAACTCTTGCTTCTTTCCTCTTGGATTCTGGGAAGTCTCCTTCTGCTCTGCACATACTGTTCCAAACACACCAAGCTCAGGACACCCAGACAATCCCTCAATTCTTCAGTTCATTCTGAGTTCACAACATGCTCTGTTCTCAATGCATAGCTGACCACATATACGGACCTTTCACTTATGATCAATCATTAGTAATTGTTTTAGTCATGTTATATTAATCTTAGTTACAATTTAATTAGGAGGATTCATGCCTGTCTAGTTCCAGCTCCGCTCCCAGTCTTTTGAACTATCACTGATTAATGTAAAATGTAATGCCCGCCTTGTACCTATGTTAACCAATCAGCAACAAGATGCTTTGTGTTTGTATCAGCCAATCAGCCACAAGCACACCTGTGGCAATGTTTGTAATATTCAATAAAAGAGAGTCCCCGGGACTTGCCCCGGGCAGACGCCTCTCCTTTGACACCCACCATTCGTCTGTCGTGATTTCAACCCAACATGTGTATGCATGAGCATTAGAAATAAGGCAATATAAACAGCAGTTGTCATTCATATTCACAGATGCTCTGTGAGTGGACCTTTGGACTGGCATCTATAGGTAATTTGACAGTCACAATCTGCTTCAATCCCAGCATGGTTCAGAAAAATTGCTATAGCACTAATTAATTGACAGCCTTAATAAGTTGATTAAGAGTGTCCTGGAGGACTCCTGGTTTTATTAGTCTCCTGTTTTATAGTTAAAACCTTCCCTGTTGCCATATCATAATAACTTCCTAAACATTTCATGCAGTCAGCCATGAGAAAGTGTTGACCAAGTGTTCATATGAATTAGTGCTATTCCCATATACAGAGAAGTTGTTGCATTGTCCCAACGCAGGGAGTGTTTGTAATTCCAGCACATGCTAGCTGGGAGCTGTAATCCAAAATACCTAGGGACACCAGGCTGGTGAAGACTAGTGCAAACCATATATTTTCCTGCAATTTTGGTTGTGTCCTTTTAATGAAATTTGGTAACGGTAAAAGTAACCTACTAGAAAAGACTATGGCATTAAAAAAATACACTTTGGGGCAATAGGAGACCTGCTCAGTGTATGGGAATAACACTAATTCATATGATTTTTCTTGCTGGCACATGCTACCTGGGGCTGGTGGTAGTTGTAGTTCAATACATCTGGGGAGCCATTTTATTTGTTGGAGCAATAATGTACAAGGTGCAGGTTTCCAGACAGCCTGTAAGTAAACAGCAACTTTTTTGGAAATGTATTGCTATAACAATCAAGGATAGGCCCTTGAAGCCAAACCTGGTAATTAGAAGCATAATTGTCTATGAAAATACAGTGGTACCTTGGGTTAAGAACTTAATTCATTCTGGAGGTCCGTTCTTAACCTAAAACTGTTCTTAACCTGAAGTACCACTTTAGCTAATGGGGCTTCCGGCTGCCACCGTGTGATTTTTGTTCTTATCCTGAAGCAAAGTTCTTAACCCGAGGTACTATTTCTGAGTTAGCGGAGTGTGTAACCTGAAGCCTCTGTAACCTGAAGCGTATGTAACCCGATGTACCACTGTAGTGCTTCTGTAGTGCTCTTGATCATCATGGATATCAGTCAATGAAAGAAGTATCCTCCACAGAGTATAGCCATGGCTCTTGCCACCTTTTTTTATAATTTATCAGACTAGAGGAATATTGGCTAGTTTTTCTACAGTTTAGTGGCCAAGGCCATTTCTGCACAAATCCCTTGTGTCGCCTGGATTTCCCCAAATCTGTCCCTATGGCCAGCTGTTCCAGGAGTTTCAAATGGAGATGAATGCTCCTAAAACTCCAGAGTAAAGTTCTGAATGTTCATAATTTTTTCTACTGCTAGAATTCCTTTTCATTCCATGGCTGAATCCTCACTCTTAAAGCATTTTAAAAGTGGGGCTGCGTATAAACACTACTTCAAAGGCAACATTTATTTATCACTAATCTCCCTTAACATGCTTCAGCTGCAGGAAACCAGCATTTCTGAGGGGTCTGTTGGAATACTTCCTTTCCCTTGAATGCTATAAATCATTCCCTTCGAGTGATGTTTAACTAATACTCTTTATTAGCGATAAATGAGTAGATAGCCAAAACCTGATTACAGCAGAAATGCTCCCTCTCCCTCTCCGCCCTCCTTTTGACAGTTCTCATTTCAAAGCAGAGAACCCAAGGCTATGTTTATTTACTACTTTGAGCACGAATCTATTCCCAGCAGATGACAATGGAGGCTAACATCCTGCCTTAATGAAAATTTGCATGGCATAGTTTCTTTTCACTTTACCTTATTAATCGCCCTCCTGGATGTTCAGTTTGTTGCTGTTTTCCAATGCACACATCATTACTAATCAAACAGGTTATGCCTCTCAAGTATACTCAGGGCTATGTCTCCAAACAAGTAAGCCTGTGCTGAATGTGTAAAAAGGGCATGCACCCAGCTATAAAATCCAAGTGGTTAGAGTCACATTGGCAGTATAAAGCCAACACAAACATTCACTGCTTTTAAAAACTGACACAAAGGCAAAATGATCATTTGTCTGGAAGCCACCCTGAGTGGCTGGGGGCAACCCAGTCAGATGGGCGGTGTACAAATAATAAAGTTGTTGTTGTTGCCTGTGTTACACATTTTGCAGCAATAAACACAGCAAACACAGATTTGCCATGGTGGCAAATGCCACCTTTTAATTGATTGCCAGATCTCACTGTGTGAGCTGCAGGCTGCTATAGACCTACAGGAAGTCCAATGAGATGTGTTATAATGAGGTTAACTGTGTTCTCTCCTTCCTTGGATGCTATTTGGGAGAGCACGCATTCTCGCTCAGACCTCAACATAAAAAGTTGAAAGTGCAGTATTTTCCTTAAGATCACAGTTCTCCATTGATTTCGAGATACTTCCGTTATTCTGTGTGTCTCTTAACCCACAACTATGGAATATTAACAACAATATATCAACTCCTATTCCTCCTCTCATGCCATGCACTGTAACATTTGCACTGCTGCAACAGAGCAATATGCCTTATCATAGAGAATATTAGTAGCTATTGGTCATGACAGGGAAATAGGATCCCCCCAATCAGAGGTAGTAGGCCTTTGTTTTCAAGAAGCTGGTGACAAACAAGGAACATAGGAACATATGCCTGAATGTATCCTTTCAACTCAACAGCTCAGGGAAGTTACATAGCTTTAAAAATCATATAAAATCAACTCCTTTGCCAGTTTCCTCCATTCCAACACTATTTTGCCCTTGAAAAAGGGACTCCAGGAAGTGCCCAGAGATGACAATTGCTGAGCTGATTGTTCGCCAAGGAAAGCCTAATCCCACCACCAGACTTGCCTAGGGGTCCAGACATGTAACGGTAGTTCTACAGTGGTGCCTCGCAAGACGAAATTAATTCGTTCCGCGAGTTTTGTCGTCTTGCGATTTTTTTCGTCTTGCGAAGCACGGTGCCAGGAAAATTTTGGAAAAGCTTCAAAAATCACCAAAGTCTTTAAAAACCTCAAAAAAGGCTACCACACCGCGTTCTATGAGTTGCTCCTCGAAGTCAAGTCGCAACTGTATTAACGGTGTTAAGAAAAAGGAAACAAACTTGCAAGACGTTTCCATCTTGCGAAGCAAGCCCATAGGGAAAATCGTCTTGCAAAGCAGCTCAAAAAACCCTTTCGTCTAGCGAGTTTTTTGTCTTGCAAGGCATTCGTCTTGCGAGGTACCACTGTATTGTACTTTGGGTGGTGGGACTTCAGAGGTGTTTGCCTATGCTAATCTTATACCTGGGTCTTGCCCTGACATGTCTGCTTATGCTAATCTTGTACCAAAGACTTGTCTGGACCTGTTTGCCAAGGTTGAACTTTCTACCCCTCCCCTTTGATGACATGTCAGTGATGTAAACATGATGTATCAATGATTCTGCACAAACTGTATTCTGGGATATTGTGGGAAGTTTTAAAAGTCAATGTCGCCCCATGCTCTGGGTTCTTACTGCTGTTGGAACCTGTTGCACAACAATAAAGGATCTAAGTCTACTGACTGCTGTTTTGCTCCAAATTGCCTGGCTGGAATGTCCTTCTTTTACTGGCTGCATGGACCCATGGGGGATTTGTACCCTGATGAGCTGTGCTGTTGAGTAGTCTCTCAACCCAGAATTTTCTTTAACAGAGACAAGGGTCTCTTCTGGAGATGCTGGGAGTTGAACTTGGAATCTTTTGCATGGAAAACAGATGCTCTGACTTTGAGCTACAACATTGCCTTTATGCCTTGCCTGGAGTTTCCAAAGGTATCTTGCAGTTTACTGTTGGAAACAGGATGCTAATTTGGTTGGCCTTGGCTTGATCTAATGAAACATCTATTCTCCTGCCTTCCTCTGAGTTCCTATTTGCTGTCATTGCAAGTCCTAATAGCACACGTAATTCGGATATTTAATGGGCTAAATAGAAATATACTTGGCTCACTAATGTAGGACATCAGTGGGCTTTATAACAGTTTGGGGTTTCTCATTTGTCTTTGCTTGAAATGAGAAACTGAAGACACTTTATATTTTTGTGGGTCTATCTGAAAATTTCCCTGAGCACTGTTTGGTGGCTTCTGCTACTGCTTTTACATCTTTGTTGTCTGTATTTGCTTGTAAATCTTTCCATTTTACAGGCTAGGGATAATTTAAGCCTGAAAAAGAATATCTGAAAATATATTACTTTTAAATAGTAAGATTCATCACATCTAAGCCTCGATGCCCGATCATCAAAAAGACCCGCTTTTATTTCTGAAAAGATCCATTCTGTCAGAGTAAACAGAATGCATTATTCCCCTTTAATAACCATTTTTAAGCATGCTTCTGTATTACTTTTCTTCCACAGCTGTATTGCAATAAGCCTTAGAGTAATTGCCAGTTCTCTTCTCTAATAGGTTCATTATTCTTTTGCCATAATTGCAGCCATTAAACGACCAATTGTTAAATTTCCACTCCTACATTTACTTAGCACTCCATTTTATAATAGGGTATATCATTATGGTACCCCAGTGGCCACAGCAATTGTTCAAAGCGTTTCTGAAAAGTCAATGAGATCCTTTTGAAATACGTCAGGATTTCTGATTTCCAAGTAATCCGTCTCTACTCTTCCCTCTCCCCTTCTCTGTATAGTTGTCTTTTTTTAGCCTTTCCTAAGATAGCAACTGTATTTAGGCAGTTTTTCTGAAAGCAAAGGAAGCTGACCTATTCAGGAAGATATAATGGTGTGATTCCCATATATCTCAAGCACTAGTTCCTTACCTTTAGGTAATGATTCATACATAACAAGGTGATGGAGCAAAGATTTAACCAAAGAAATTAACACTTATGGCTTAATGGCTTTTTGAGGGCTTTGATTTATCTTTTCCCATGTTAAATTTGCTGGGCTTTCATCTGCACAGTAAGAGTGATCTTGCTACTGGCATTAGTTACAGTCATGGCAACAAAATGATCCATTTTATGACTCTTGCAATGTTGTTCAAAATTCTGAGACAAGCCAAATCGCTTATGTCAGGATTGGTGCACGTTTGTTGCTTTAGAGTAGTAGATTTTCGAGCATATCAGTAACAGAAATATTTTAAGGAAGGCATAAATACACTTTAGATGAACATTTTGTTTAGAGCTATTAGCATAGCATTTCTTTGTTTTGCATAGCAGGGAGTGTTTCTCTGTTAGCAACTTCAGCTGTATATAATATATTAGCATTACACTTTTGGGGGGCAAGGCACAGTATCTTATCTGTACACTTGGTGGCTTTGTGGCACATTTCTTGACCTAGCATGTTTACTGTGACTGGGATTTGAGTAGTATTTTGGTCAAAAATTCTGTTATCATTTACATGTATTATATCTGATGGACTACACCCTCTGTGTAAGCTTTTAAATGGGTTTGATATGATGTGCTATGTTATATCTACATTCTGCTTATTAATGTGATGACATTTTAGGTTCTAGTATGAATAAACCTGACCCAACTATTATCAAAGAATAAAAATAAAAGCATGCATGCTCAGGGAATCAAAACAGACAATAGAAGCAGATCCTGTTTCCTCAGAATCCTGATTTGTCATAGGCAATCATTCCCAAGTAAGAGTGTAATGGAAGCCCACAGAGTGAACTCAGTTTCTGTAATCTGGAAGAACCTACAGCAAGTGTGGGAAACCTTGGGCCCTCCAGATGTAGCTGAACTACAACTCCCATCAGCCCCAGCAAACAAGAGTTGAGATAGATGTTTTGGTGTTCTCTGTGTGTCCTCATCTTGTCTCAAAATTGCTTGCTGATCATAGATAGCAAGAAAAAAAGGCAGGCAGAAGAAATCTCATCCCAACTGGTGCTGTTACATCAAACAAGTATTTTGTCATGTGGGAAACCTCAGGCTGGCACAGAATAAATCCCGCTCAAAATCATTTTGACACTTTATCCCTCAAATTGTACTGTTTTCATCTTTAAAAGCTATATAGACTGCTTTTCCAGCAAAACGCTTCCCATCTGATAAAGACAGGGTGAAGTAGTCCTATGCTTCCCCCCCCCCAGTGAATGAGTTAATAGAAATAATATATCTATGGTTCATTTTCTAGTGAATCCTAACCCTTCGTAAGTAAAGTGAGGGCATGCCCACATAAAATATGGAGAGTACAAGATCCATCATTATAATGCATTTGTTACGTGAAAGAAAAGGCAGTCAGCCTTTGTCAAATTGCTGAGGTTTGGCTTCAGCAGAAATTATTCTGGGAAGCATAGACTGTGAATATCGTCACATACTTGTTAGAGGAAATTTGGAGGATACAACCTGTCCTCATTGGCAGAGGTGTATAAATTATCCAACTCTCATGTCAAGGTGCCGTTTGGCAAACCCATGCAGTAATCATGCTTGCTCATGTCCCTAGAATTTTGGAATACTTGGGAGCCTGAAAAGCCCTCACCCTTTCTTCCATAAAACAGGTTAATAGGGTAGGAGACCTAGAGGTTAAGAAACTGCTTCAGGTGGAAGCTAACACAAAAGAGCCACCAGGAGGGCTACATCTGTCTGCTAACTATTTGCATTCACAAAGCATGTTAGGCCATTTTCTTCTTAATAGAAAGAATTTACTTTGACCCTGTAGGCTATAATTTCTGGATACTCTGAATAGATTGTTACAAAAGAAGGATGGTTTTAACCCACTTATAAGCATCTGTGTTTCTCAGCTGACTTCTAAAGCTGCAGATAAGAAACAGCAGAATTGCTCCAAACTTACACACACACACACACACAAACACACATACACACACCTGCAGCCACCCCAAGGACGAATGAACAGCTCCTGTCTCTCATCAGAATGCCAAGTGTTAGATTCAATTTTCAAAACTATTCCTCAACCTAAGGGAAAGAGTTGACATGGTAGGTAATAGAATCGCACATTTGGGTGGTTGTAATTTAGATAACTTCCATCATTTCCTTGTGCTATTTATATGTAAAGAAAAACCTTTGCATTTAAAAATTGTCGGATGACTGGAAACAGCTTACAAACATCAGAAGGAATTAAAAAGCACATTAAACACTCAGCCACAGAGATATGGTCTCTTCCACAAAAGCAGACATGACTGTGGCAAAAGGAATCTATTATTGTAAATATAATGTGCTATTATTATTACACATTAATTTTTATCATTCTTTGGCCCCATTGCATCATGTTGTCTCATGTCTATTTCCATCTTACTTCTTCTTTCCTCACTCTTTTTCTGCTTAGGTTTCCAGCATTCTTTTATCTGCTGCATCCTTAAAAAACACACAACCCTGCTTAGTATCCCATTTCCCTTCTTTCTTTTTCATGCCTCTCTCTGAGTTCATGATACTAATATTCTTAATCTAGCAAGGCAGTTAACATACTAAGTCCATTTAGAAGCCACTAGCCTCCCCCCAACCCCAACCCCCCATGCCATGTGAGTCTCCAAGGCCCAAAATTATCCACATATGTTCTTGTGCCGCATCAAATCCACAACATGTCAAGCCCTTGGGTCCAGGTTACCTGAGGGAACACCTTCCCCTCTTGTATTGACCCATTTGATAGTTCATCAGAGGAGGCCTTGATGGTCATAACCTGCAGATTATCATGTCCACATACAATCACACTGTGTGGTGTGCAGGGACAGGGGAGAGACGGTAGAATGGCATCTGCTGGCAATGTCCCTGATATCTGTATATTGATTAGGACATCAGCACAGAGCATGCACCCATTACAGACATATGCACAATATGCTCTATACACGGCAAGATTCCAGGCACAGAACTTATATACAGAGGTACCTCGGTTTACGAACAGTCCTGTTTACGAACTATTTGGTCTACGAACTCCGCAAAACCAGAAGTAGTGTCCTGGTTTGCGAACTCTACCTCGGTGTACGAACGGAAGCCAAATGGTGGAAGGGCACTGGTGGTGGGAGGCCTCATTAGGGAAAGCAGGCCTCTGTTTAAGAATAGATTTGGTTAAAGAATGGACGTCGGGAACGGATTAAGTTTGTAAACCAAGGTACCACTGTACAGAATTCTGCAGCTGACGTGATGGTTGAGGGTGGGGCCAGCAAGTACAGCTCTGGCTTTTTCCTCCATGCATTGCTTATATGTGGTTACATTACTGGAACAAGACTTGTGTATAGTCCCAGCTCCTGGGTCATGGCCATAAGGAACATGTCAAGAACACTTCTGCTCTCTACTTATACTGTCCTGAGTCCCAAGGGGAAGAAATGGGGCATAAAATGAATGAATGAATGAATGAATGAATGAATGAATATAAGCATCACGCAGAAGCATTTTTAGCAGGCTGTATGGAAGGCAATGTAGTTTTTCTTTGGATCATCCCAGTCACTTCATAGATCAGTAAAAAGTCCAGATTTCTAACATGGATGATACATAACTGGACCCTGGAATCTTTTGTTTAAATTTTTTTTGTATGCCTTTTTAAAAATCCAGCTACACACTTTGTTCACATTAGGACTTTTAGTGAGCAACATTATTTTGAAATCTGATACATACCCTTTTTAAGAGTGATCTGTCTCTGCCAGAGGTGGCGATCCTTTTGTCATGTAGATGTCATTCGACTCAAACTCGCATCATCCCTAGCCAGCATGGCCAAAGGTCAGGAGGGTGCCTGGTTCCCCATCCTGCTCATTGCCAATCCAACTTAAGGGAGCATGCATTTGCTATATTTCTCAACTAGGTCATAGTGACAGGTGTAAAAAAATACTTTATTTTCTGTCCACATTTTTTTTCAGTCAAAATGTCTTCTAGAGTTTCCTTCTTCTGAGTCTTTCATATACTGGAAAATATAATATGAGGGGGCAGGGGAATGAGAATAAATTAAGAGGGTGGAAAACTTTTATTGAGTTAAGGTTTTCAGCTCTGTCCACACCTATTACAGAAATATTTAATTGAATCCCTGTGTTTTCTTTAATCTGCCCATTTACGTTTCTTTCCTTTCTTTAGCCAGACCTGGATTCCTTATTCTTCTCACGTTTTCTGGTCTTTTAGGATTCAGCACACAGCCGATAGGAGCAGATAGATTTATCAAGAACATTTGATTGTAGGTTCATGAAAGTGGTTCTTAAGTAGAAGCCCTTTTTAGTGCTGATTAGGTCAGCATTAAAACATGAACACTGAAGCAAAGTTTGCTCAAGAAAATGGTGTCCAGGCTTTGCTACCAAGAGCAAATGTGTGTTGTCTAAACCTTCCATTGAAAATGTTTTGGGCTGAATCTAGTCTTGCCCTTCTGGGAACAGAAGGACTCATTGACTTCACTAAAAGAACCCATATCCAGTGAAGGCTCCCACTGAAGGAAGTGGGGGTGGCAGTTTTCACCAATTCCCCCTCGCCATGCAACTCCCAGTTCCATTTTACATGCTGTTGTATGGGCTCCTCTACCCCTCCCCAACCAGAAACAGCTTTTTAAGGAGCAATGGGACTACAGGGAAAGGCAAAATGAGAGAATCACCCCCATGCCACCCTTTTCCCAGTGCAAGCAGAATTCCACTGATCACAGGTCTGCATCTAACCCTTTATCTCCAAATAAAGTTAAATGCATCATAAGGTGAGCAGCCCCATTCACAACCAATGCTACCATGCGCAAATAATTTTGGAGGTTCATTTGCAAGTTTTGTAGCACTTTTTTGTCTTGTTCTCCTTCAGCTTCTAAAATTGTCATGGCTCTCTGGAGAAGGTGATGAAATCTGAAGAATTAATATTGCTGATGGTTAACAGCCCAGATAATTTCTAGTTAAATTCATATCTCTCTATGGCTTGTCATACTAACACATTCAAAAGGCTAAATGGATTTTCTATGAGTTACCCATCCAGCATTTGTATCTTGCAGATTATTGGGATGAAAGAAGTAGGAGGGCAAAATAGGGAGGTAATTGGTTGGGGGGGATCTTTAAGCCAATTGAAAAAAATATGGCAACTATGTGTTAAGTATAATTGTTTTGATTGCACACTGAAATTGAGAATGTCTGTATGTATATTACTAAGGGTTTAACATGGGAAATTCCACTGAAGTTAAAGAAGATCAAGAAAACCTCTCTTAAGTGTTTAACAGGTTGATGATTAACTGTAGATGTTCTCTGCTCTGTCATGTGCCTGACTTAGATCACATGAAAGAGAGAGAATTACCTTCTATGGCTATGTTAATCTATGGGTGTCCATTTTGTGTGAATGAGCAACCAAATGCGAAGGATGTGATAACAGGCCTCTCCTGGAATAATCAGCCTTAGGCTGGAATGCAAGCTAATGGAGTCTGTGTGTGGAAAAACATGCCTCTGATTTTTGGTGTGTTCGAATTATTTTGGATTTTGTAAGAAGCTGGACCTGTGCTAGACATGCACAAGATATTGCCTGCAACTGTTTTGGATGTATCACTATTGCTTTTGTTCTGTTTTGAAGAAAGTTCTGCAAGTAAAGCTTTGAATAACATTTATGGGTTTGGACAACTTTTATTCTAAAAGGACTCTGTTTTT